CCTGAGATTAAAATAACCATGCGACCAAAATATGGATTATGGGCTAACATTAGTAAACGCCAGATATAAACTCATCATTATGTAGAAAAACATGAGTGAATTATAAAACCATTGTATGATATGGTGAAAAACACGTGATAAAAAATAAGTTGCAAATAAAATGATTTTAAGTATTATGTTGGATAGAGCTGGGTTGATTATATATAAATAAATTGTGTTTCTTACACTTTATTGTTGATTAACGGTCGGGCACAACTATTTTTAAGAACTGATCCGTTGTTAATAGTATGTATTTTAGTAAAAGTTACCATCAAGAAGAAAACAGCTTGTAGCAGAGAAGTTGACTATAGACCGCACAAAATGTTTGTGAGTTTAGACGAATAGCACAAGTTGCAAAGTATCGTATGATGCATGATGTGTTCGAATTTGTTGGTTTTTCTAGTCGACATATAGACAAATGAATCTTCATGCCCATTTTCTAAGTAAAAACAGAGTCTCTCTGTGAAAAGGCAAGTCAAAACTTCGGTGATTATAAATTAAACAATGTTTGAAATCAAAGCGGATATTTTGTAAAGAAAATCAGATTGAACGTGTATCTCATTTTGACTTCTAGTTGAAGAAAAAGTTCTAAAAGTTTTTCTTTTTGCTAAAGTATAGGGCTTCTCATGATTATATTTTTGTTTGTTTTAAAAGCTTTTAGAAATCTTTACTAGTATATGAACCTAATACTAATATTGGTGGACAGAATTAGCAAAAAAAAGGTGTGGAAACCAGGATTTTTGATTTAATTAGATTAAAATTTAGTTTTACTATAAATTCAAAATACACATCCTGAAAGTATGCTTCTCATTTTATAGGAAATTCTAGAAAATTTACGAAATAAGTTTACATATATGAGAAATAATGGATGTTTCTTTCTTCATATGAAGCCAAAACCTGCTGTTTTTAGTCTTCTTCAAATACATATGTCAGCATTCATACGTGATGGAATGCTTCTGCTTTTGCATAAGTGAATGATTATTTCTAAACCAACTAAATACTAAAACGAAACTCAACATCTGTTGATTAGAATAAGTTTTGTGAACAAAATACTCTCAAACCACCAACTGTACAATGGTTTTGAAGCTCACTCAAATATATGTCGTTCACTAATATTGTATCTTAATTTCGTATATACGAATGAATGTTGTCGGATACACTTAGAACTGTATTCAATAATGAGTTCACATGTGATTGAGGTTTTTGTTGAAATAGCTAAATTGAAATTGGCAATATTTTAAGAAATATATCGAAACATGATCATTACATTACTCTTCATAAACTAATAAGAGTGATATAATTTGACAAGAGTTTCATCTTTGGAGATGCTCATGTACAGTATTGAGATTGATAAGCATCGATACATGTCGAGCTATAATCAACAAAACTTTTTATTAGCTATCCTGTAGTAGACGAACGAAAAAGAAATCATTGATAACTTTATGTACATAATTGTTTTTCTTATTGTTGATCTATGTGGAAAAGTTGCCATGGCGACGATAGAGAAGATCATGTCATATCACTTCGACTTCGTTTACGATTATTTTCTTGCTCATATTGACTATAATCGAGCATTACCCAGTCAGACAAACAAAGAAAAAAAGCATGTCGAAATTCTATCAAGAATGAAATCATGAAAAGCGCACATTTCCACGCTTTCATAACGCATTAAATTTTTGAACGAATATATATATTCCCTCAAAATTTCTAATGCGTTGTTACACGTTCGTTTGCCGAACTGCCAGAGTTATCGATATATTTTAGGATTGAAATAAAAACTCAAGAGGAAACACTCTCATTCTCGAAATACTAAAAGTAGTGAGAGAAAGGAAAGAAAGAAACTTACCATGACCTAATCCTTCTCAGACTCGGACTGCGTCCCGATCCTATTCATCTTGCAACGCCATTGTCTGCTTATTTTTATTCCAGTTTCCGTCAAAGGAAGACAAAGGGTGTTTCAAAATTTAATTGTTGCCCGAAGTTACCACGAAGCTGTAACAAATTGGCACAAAGTCGGACATTTGTAAGGAAAGCTTCCATGCTCCTAATCGAGATCTCTGATAGTGACTTTAAAATCTTGGTCAAAATAATGCATAATTTCGATTGTGCATGACTGTTTGAACTTAAAATAATACTTAGATATTCATCTGTACTTCAGAATCTTACATTGTATACACTTTAAAATATTGATAAATCTTCTAAAGCAACATTTTGTCTTTGTTCTTTGTAATTAACACAGAATCATTCAACTATATTTAATTAAAAATAAGCAACTAATTGATTTTTTTTCTGATAATATTGAAGAGATTTTACATGTTAAACTAATTTGGCTTCAATCGATAATTGGACAATTATTTACTGAGATAATTATATGTTAACTGGCGCCGATGCATTCTTCGTGAAAACTAAAACAAACATAGAATACATATATGTGTATATGATTTCAACACCTACACAATCATCGCAAACATCGATTTCTTCTATTTCACATCACAGTAATAGTATACGAAATTTATCTCGATCTGATTTAAATATTGAATATACATGCAAAAAAAAATTAAAATCAGGAATAAAATGGTTCATAGATCCATTTCAACAATGTTGTTCATCGAAAACAAGGATTCGTCAAACATCTAAGTATATATTCGAGTCTGAATGTTTGAAATCAGAACTCAATCGAGTTAATGGTCTATTAAAATATTTTACTTTTGGTGTTATGTTCACCAATGGCTTGTAAGAACTATTTAATATATATTTTCTTAAAAACTTCATAAGAAAAGATTTCTTTTTAGATTAAGTTTTATTTTATTTTTCATTGGTCTATGGAGTTCATTTGAACATCGTAAAATTAGTCATATGCCAACAGTAAATACAAAAGAGGCAATATCATTAAATCCATTTAATTTAATTGGAATTATTCTTTGCATAGTTGGTTTCTTATTTTTTATTTTATGTGTAATCAGTTGTTTAGGTATTAATCGTGAAAATTTAAATCTTCTGCGTATTTCACTTATTGGTCAATTTTTAACATTAATTATTTTTTTAATATTTGCTATTACCATATTAATATGGGGAGGTAAAATTCGGCATAAAATAGCGGATGCAATGATGATTGGATTGAAACAACATTATCATATGGATAAAGCATGGACAGTTTTTTTTGATAAACTTCATTTAAATTATTTTTGTTGTGGTATGTAAAAAATGAGGTCAATTTAAACAAACACTTAGTCTTGTGACGTTGCTACATGAAATAAAACAAATCATATATTCATGTATTTGTGCGTATGAACTACTTCTATATAATTGTGTTATTAAGCATAATTATATATGAATTATTATCTATGATTAAATTTCCTTCGTTTGTATTGAATTTAGCGAATTTATTGAAATTATATCTGTTAATGAATAAACTTTGTGAAAAATTATTGATTCTCTTTAATTTGATGCCAAAAAATTAGAGGTAATCGATTTTGTATTAAGGTATGTATAGTAATAGATTTTCTTTCGTTTTTCTTCATTTAGATCTTACGAAATTAAGTAGTATTCATTGTTCGAAAGTCAAAATTAAAACATGTCAATACATATGATATTTTGAGCTGACGACGGAAGTAGCCTTAACGATTTGTAGCTTCATCTTTTGGTCATAAATAGATCTTAATGTGGCTGAGAAAATCCTAAAAGCATTTATCGCATATTATTTTAATAATATTATTTTAATCTTAGTTAAAAAAATTTGAAACTGAGATAGTATTATTTAAATTAGTATCAAATGCCCTATGTCCAAATGATTGCGCTTCTCTTCAGTAAAGTTGATTAATAAGGTTTAGTATACAAATGAATACCGACAGACTTATCCTAGTAATGTTCAACATTGTCAAAAATTCCTTGTCTTTCAGGTGATTTCTATGCAATGAAAAGATATGTTAAATTCCTGATTTGATCTACTGTGATTGATGTATTAAGATATAATACTCTTGTCACTTCTGCATGGATTATGAATATTATTCAGATATTTCATCTTTATATCTGGCTAATGTATTTTAGTATTTTGTCGTTTTTAGATGCAATATAGAAACGTTTAGACACTCGGTGCTTCACTATTATAACTTTGAGATGTCATAATTTCATTGATTTAAAGATTTTAAAGTTGGATAGGACAAGTTCTGTGAAAAAACTATTCGTTTGACATATTTTAAGTTTCAAGCTATTGATATAGCATATGAATAATAATTTGAGAATAGCAGAAAAAAAAACATTCTTCTTTATCATAACGTTAACCATATCTCAAGGATGAAGAGTTATAAGCATGAAAGCTTTTAGATTTTCTTTAATTTCATTGAGACCTACCGATGAATAAAAGATGAAATCGAAAAGTCAGAATCAGTTGAAGTACTTCTCTCATTATTTTAGACAACTTTTCACCATTAAGACGATTAAAAAGTTAAGATACATGTAGTGCCATGACAACCTATACTACATCGTGTACTTCATCTCGTTCCACTTGACACGCTTCAATATTTCTTTTATCATTATTTTTCCGTATGCGATACGCAAGAATGTCATATATTTTCGAATCAGACATAATTATATTATTGTATAACTCTGCTTATTGCTAACTATTAAGGTGTTTATTCATTCAACGATTGGAATGACAATCCAAATTATGCATGTACATCCTCGAATATCTCTCAAAGTTTTGGTATGTTTTTTTTTTATTAGAAATTCATTCATATTAATGGATCATGTATAGATGCTTGTTCGGTGCCTTTTACATGTTGCAAAAGAGAACAGAAAGACGTAACAAAGCTTTTTATTTAAAATTCCGAGAAAAAAAAAATTATATGTTTACATTTTATTTTTTAATGAATTTTAGGATGATCAACGTATCTATATGAAGTCTCTTGCTTTTACTTGTGGTATGATGATATTGTTCGATATATCAATTCGTTTATTCTATATATCATTGATAGGAATAAATGTTTTACCATCACGTAATATGACAATCAATATGGATGAAATACAAAAACGTATTAATATTAACGGATGCTTTGATGAAATTTTACCTATCATTCAACAATTAATTATTACAGCTTCTATATTTATGTTATTGATCTGTGTCATCATAATTATTACTATGTTTCTCACTTGTTTATTAACATTTGATATTCGTTTGACTATATCAACGGTAAAGCGACAGTGTCAGAAGAAAAGACGCAGCAATGAAGAGAATCATTCCGAACAAGAAGAAGAAAGATTTTAATAAATGTTTTCTACATATAATGAATTATATATGAAACATTAAATATTATAATAGAACAGTATACAAATATTTGAAAACGTAAAAATTCTTCGAAATCGAAAGATAGATGTGTTAAAAGAATCAATAATGATGATATATTTATTAAAAGACTTTTCAATATATCTGATCATTGTGTCAATAGTAAAATAAATTCTTCTGGAAAGAAAACCGATATACGTAATTTTTTCGATATTGTCTCTCTACGACTGTCATTGGATTTTATATTTCTATCACGAATACGCCGCTAACTACTGAATTTATTCGAAAAGTTTTAGTATTGTAGAATGAGAATTTATTGAAAAAACTTCAAATATATCGTCCATGTACTTATGTGCTATTGAAACCTAGAGTTTTCTTTTTAATCTTGCTAAGTTTTCGTTTTTTTCCTCCTTTTATTGAATAACATCTAGCTTTAACAAATGAGTAAGATTTTGCAATATTTCAAGTTATTTTTATAAAATTCTTTCGAAAATGTATAAAGAAAGATCTATGCAAACAGATTCATTAATCAAAGTTTAGTGTTATTAAATAAAGAAAGTCAAAAAGAAAACAAATTTTAGTTTCACTGATATATGGCTCCATGAAAGATATCCGAGTAATTATCTCCATGACTTCGCATTCTATGGTAATGAATCTCTCAGAATAAGTTAAGTAATCGAAGATGTAGCTCTGATAGAATTATCAGATCCAATGACTATTACAGAGAGAGACAAATGTACAGTATTTCATTTTCTCATTATATGTTTCAATGTATAACCAAAGTTAAAAATACAATTGTATAATGAATTCGTTTTCTTTATTAAATATATATATACAATAACTACTAGAATCATTGTCTTTCAGACGCGAAAAATAAATTGGCTCAATTGGACAGATTAAAAAAAGAATATCATTCAATTAAATTTTGGGTACAATCCAGATGATGTCGGTGGTTGACTGTATAGATTTTGTGCATAAGATGGAGGAGGAGGAGGAGGTGCCGTTGGTTGTTGATGATACAGCGGTGGATGAGAAGGCATCGCTTGATTTGCACCCTGAGGCGGAAATCCACCATATGGATTCATGTTGAACTGTTGATAAGGTTGTGCGTGATATGGAAATATTGGTTGTTGATTATTAACCTATAAAAATACAATAAATCATAAATTTATATGTAGCATTAGCAAAAAAAAAAGAAATTTTTCAATTACAACAGGTATAACTGAAAATTGTGCATCGATATTTTTCTCTTTAGTATTCGTTGTTTTCAAATGACCATCCGTTGAAATCGAAATAAAATGATTTTTACAAGTACAAGATTCAAATGCTACTAATTCATTAGTACCAAGTATATCGTGTACACGAAACTCTAGACTAGGATCACTTTTAGCACCAGATGGCTAAATGATAAAAAAAAACATGCAAAAATTTGTTTTTTCTTCAAATCAAAATGTATTCATGTAAAAACATACAAATGATTTAATACAAGCTTGTTTGCCTTGAAATGCAAAATAATTATAATTATTATGAAATCGAAGTCGACCTTTTTCAGTTTTTTCAACATTGAAATAAGCTAAAAACAAAAAAGAAATTATATGATATGAATTCAGAATCATTGTATGAATTGCTCATGTTCTTCTTTAGGCTTATTTTTTTATGAAAAAGAAATTCTGAATCAATTCCAATGCTACCATTTAGAATAAATTGTACATTGTCTTTTAAATATTATTTAAGGGAATCTCCGTCTTTTTTAACTATTTCTGATCCTCAAAGAAGGTACAATCTATCTAATTTTGTTCGGTCGGACTGCAAATTGTCCTTTAGATTATATATCAGAAGTGTTTTAAAGCTTTTTGAAACATCTTGCTTTCTTTGATTCTTATGAAAGAAGTGTGTAAAAGTCTGGATTCAAAACTGAGGAGATAATGTTTCAGGCTCTATAAATCTAAATACGATCAAAAATGAGCATAGCCGGTTTCATCTATTAAAAAAGCTTTCAAATATTTGTGATCAAAATTTCACTCCGCTCTAATAAAACTGGATCGGAAGAAAGTATCGTAAGCAGATTCGATATGATTCTATGTCACAAATTTTTTCTAGAAACACGTATCTCCTTATTTAACGTGCTCTATCTGTAGTAAGAATTTTACTATGTCTACTTTGTCTATTGATTTCGGATAATCTTATATAAAAGATTCCTAACTATTATTACATGTTTGTGAACGATATTTCGTACGATAGATTTCAAATATTTCAAATTATTCTTAATGAATATAATGATGAAAAGATTTTTAATATATTTATACTAAAATGCTTACTATTAAATGAATTCATAGTACCATTTCCATCAAATGCAAGAATATCATATGAAGACATAACAATTTGAAGTAAATGACCTGAACTTTTTGAAAGTAATTGAACAATAGCACCATTTTGAAGAAGATCCTTTTGAAAAAAAAAATTCGATGAATTTCTATTTAGTAAATCCTTGTTTAAATCGTACTCGTGCACAATGTCCACCTGTAATTACACTATTGATTGTATGCGTTGCAGAAGCAATTGTATCTTCTCCAACAATATTTCCCAGTAGATTTGTTGCAAATGATTCAGTTTTTCCAAGTAAAGTCTAAAAAATTTTGTAAATCAACAGTTAGATATGTACAAAAAAAATAATCTATTCTTCTAAAACCTTTTTTTCATGTTCTTGATTATATTCTGTTAATGTAGGATAAGCATTTCTTTGTGAATAACCTGCTGTTGAATTTGCTGTATGAGAATAAGAATCTGTTGTTGAAGAAGATGAAGGTGGATGATAATAATATGCTGGAGAAGATGATGTTTCCGATGATATTACTTGTCCAGTTTTTGTTTCTGTATTTTTCTTACTAAAATCATTTACATCATCACGTACTATTCTAGTTTGATTAGAAAAAATATTTTTCATTATGTTCTATGTATTAATCTAAAATGAATTCGAATGTTAAATATTTCATACATTATTAAGATGTTTTTTTCTTATTCATACTTTTCATAAGTTTATACATTGTAATATAGATGGCGCTCATGTCCGTTCGATGTGTTTCATTCTAATTAAAATATTATATTTACTTTTTTTCTTTATTAATTAAGGTCATTCTTTTGTTTTATCTTAGTATATTTGAAATCGCCATTGTATTGAGAAAATCTTTCTTTCCTTTCCTTCCAACGTCATTCTCTATCATCGTCATTTCTTCTTCCTCCTCCTCAGTATCGTACTTTTTCTTTCTTTCGTTCTTTTCTTTTGTTGATTCTTTCGTCTTTATATATTTTATAAACTTATAATGGAAGACTATCATCCATAATAGTACAATCTTAATTATTTATTCCTTTTAAAAAACCCTCGTCACTTGAAGTTCTATATGTTGAGATATTTGTTCGTTCTTTTCATTGTAAATCTATCACGCACCTAAAGATTCGCTTGCGATCTCCTTCGTTCCGTTTCCCGTTCTCCTTCTTTCTTTTCCTATAGATAAATATCTTCAAAGTTATAGAGGCAACAATGGACAATTTTACATCTTTTTCTCTCTCTTTTTTTTTCTTTGATTGTTCGGCCGTTACTCTTCTTCCTTGTGAAACCGTCAATTTGATGTTCCTTTCATTTAATATTCTCGAATCTTCTATATTGGCATCTTACCGACAGTAGTTCGAAGACAACAACTATAAATATAAGCATCATCATCCACCATTTTCCCAATAGTCGAGCCTCACAAACTTCTTACACATAAATTCATTGGTGGAGGAGGTTCGAGCTTGTATGTCTGTTGCACTATATATACCATTGCAAAACGCTCATTCTCATTGCATTATCCTCGTTGACGAGCAGCACACACACACATACTACTGACGACGACTCGACCCACATACAACATCAAGTAAGCAAGCAGTCGAGTACGCATACACAACCGAGCAAGTAAAAAACAGGAGAAATACAAAACGACAAAAGTTCGTTTCTATGAATATAAAATGAGAACAATGAAATTTGAGAAAAGTTGAAAAATAACTTTTTCTTTAAACTTCTCAATATTTTAAAAGAGAAGAAAACAGAAATCAAATGACTAAGTTGTTTTTCTCTTTCTATGTTTAAGTAAGACAACAAAAAAAAAAAACAATAACATTGGTTCGTTCTGAATATTAATACTAACAAAAGATAAAATTTAGAATTCATAGAATTTTTTTGTTTTCGATATAAACAGTTATCTTTTTAGTTTAAGTTCCAGATACAGACTAGAGAATATAAGAAAAAACAACACATACCCTAAGTTAAAATAGACAGAATAAACTCATTCATTTTTCTTTCGTTCTGTATAATGTTACCCGGTTGCCTAAGAAAAGAGAGAGGGATGTCAAAAAGTGGGTATGCCAAAGAAAGAAAGGAAAAAACACAATCGTCATGTTAAAGAAACATAATAAAAGATGGCGCTTTTATAATAATCCAAGGAAGTATTATTGATTTTTTTTCTTATATCTTCAGATTTGAATAATATTCGATGGCACGTACAAAACAAACAGCACGTAAATCAACAGGTGGAAAAGCTCCACGTAAACAATTAGCTACAAAAGCTGCACGTAAATCGGCTCCATCAACAGGTGGTATTAAAAAACCACATCGTTTTCGTCCAGGTACAGTTGCATTACGTGAAATTCGTCGTTATCAAAAATCAACTGAATTACTTATTCGTAAATTACCATTTCAACGACTTGTTCGTGAAATAGCACAAGATTTTAAAACTGATTTACGTTTTCAATCGGCAGCTATTGGTGCACTTCAAGAAGCAAGTGAAGCTTATTTAGTTTCACTTTTTGAAGATACTAATTTATGCGCTATTCATGCTAAACGGGTTACGGTAAGAAAAGAAAAGTCGTTTTTTTTATTTTATACTTTATTTATTATTTTAAAAAAAATTTAGATTATGCCAAAAGATATTCAATTGGCTCGACGTATTCGTGGTGAACGCGCTTAAATTATATAATATGAAATAAATTAGCAGCAAATGGACTGTTTATTTGTATATGTGTGTTTTTTGTGTGTACTCTAGATTTCGTTTTTTTTTGTCGTTGTTTTTCCTTATATATGTATATGTATGGATCAAATTTGATTCAAAGAATAAATATACTCATTATCATCTTGAAAACCTAAAAACAAGCTAATGATTAAATAAATTTATTTCATTCTTTTTGTTTCTTCGCTCATAAATAGTTGATTAATGTTATCACGATCTACATTAATTTCTATTTTAACCATTATATATATATTTTATACTATTTTAACTGTAAATGTTTGTTTAGTTGTCAGTGATAAAGTAGGCCATTGACCTTCAAGGTGAGAAAAAAAGCAATAAACTTTAATAATTTGTAGGATATCTTTGCATTTCATCGACGAGTTTTTTTTATGAACAATTTTAGAATTTTATTGAAGAAATTTTGAAAGTTACTAGATTGTCCGCTATCAATCATGCTGATGCCGAATATGACTATGAAAAATCTTCTTAAGTTGTTATACGTTGGTTTTTTAGACTAATAAATATTCTATTTAAACTCTTTTTGAACCTACTCACATTATAGAGTATGTTGAGTTGTCTATAAGACAATTATCATTTTTCTTTTTTTGACGAATCGTAACTAAAGTAAGATTAACTTGAAGATTTGCACAATTGAAATGTGAATGTGTATCTTCTGTTGTGTGAATTGAAAAGGCTTCATTTTCTGCAAAAAAAAATGATTTGAAACAGGAAAAGTTATTATTTTGTGATAATTCGTTATGCTCTGTAATCTCGATGGAATTTAAAAAAAACGGGTTTTGATCGAAAGATTGTTTTCTAGAAAACTAGCATATAAAGACCATAAAATGATTTCTTATGGTCATATTCTGAATTTATATGATCAATAACCTACAATTCATTAGCTTTCATTTTTAAAAGCAATTAATCAGTTAGGAACGTTCTTTCATTGAACGGATAGAATTAAGCTAAACAGTAATGATACTATTTGGCATTTAAAAATCGGATGTTACCATTAGTAGACAGGCTAGAAAAACACTTTAGACTAGCGGATGTGGGCGTAAGCATCGATGTAAGTATAGAAATTTGACTTCTTTATTTCCACGTCTACATACCTACGCCTGCTTCAGTTGAAGAGCTAAGATCACTGACTTAAAGAAAGATTATGGATTTAATATGACTATGATGAAACAACTTGGCAAAAATATAAACAAGCCTCCATAAAATAAACAACAATTATTTTTCAAAACTAACCAATTCCTGATTTAATGAAATGACGTGAAAAAGATTCTTGTGTCATCAGATGAACATATTATTCAGATAAATAAAATATTACAAGAATATTTTGTTGTCATGATCTTATGAACTATTGAGTGATGTTCTCATTTCTATTTTTTCCATAGTTTTCTCTTATGCAAAGTAGTACTTGCTTTTCTGCATAAAAAAAAACTGCTGAAAAAATTTACCAATGAAGCAGAAAAAAATTAACTAGTCTTCGTTTTTTAATGACATCGTGCCAAACATCTTGAACTACAAATGTCTGTTGAAGTATTAGTGATAAATCAGCTCATTGGTCTTCAAAACAAAAACAACAATCAACTTCAATAATTCGTATATTAGGAGGGTTGAAGCCAAGGATGAAAAAGCGGATTCTTGGATCTTGGTAAATCCTAATAGATCTCAGAAACCAGGCTTCCCATTTCGCAAGACCCCATAGGATCCATCAGAATCTAAGAATTTGTTTTTACTTCTTGGTTGCAGCTTGCTTCTGTGACCAAATTTGATATGAGTAAGTTTTCTATAAAAGGATGAAACAGAATACATTCCATGAATTTTTTTATTAGCCGATCAAAAATTAAATATGCATATTTCAACCTATAAGTAATATTTGTGACTGACGCTTTTCAAATAAAAACTCGATGATATTTCCTTTCATCCAACAAAAATATAATTAATCAATAATAAACTTGTATGAAATTGGTTTAGAGACATACTATATTTCTTACAGTACAGAAACGAAAATCTTTTATAATAGGTGAGATGAAAAACGACAACACTTTTTGTGGTGATTAAATGTTTGATTAAACTTTGAAATAGATTTCAGAAAAGGTTTCGTATATAAGAATTTGTCTCTTAATATATAACAGGTTAGAGACTTTTATTTAAAAAAAATCAGTTAAATTTTTCATATCTGAAAGTACCAATATCAATATTCCGACAACTATACTGTTGTTGTAAATTATATTGCTGCTAATTAAAAAAAGACAACTACAGCGAAAATATTCTTCGTTGTGTAAGCGTCCACATCATCGTGATAAATTTTATAAATTTAAGTAAAGAAAAAAAAAACCATTACATCGTACTACTATTAGTTTTTTTAATCAACGACATTGAATACTTTCATGTAAAAGTAAGAAATAGAACTCAATAGCATTCAATACTCGAGGCAATTGCATCGATTCACTTAACATGCTACGGTTACTCATTGTTGACTTTTGAGTAAGGTATTAAATATTTCAATGACTGTGTTAAGTTGTTGAAAAATTTTTTTTCTCGTTCTTTTATTCGGTCGAGTTACATTGACATGTATGTAAGAAGCTTTGATTTCTTATTGTTATTTCAATAAATAGGCAATAACAAAAGCAATTATTTGGTTTTTTTTTATCCTTGACACTTTTAATTATAGTACAGGTATTGTCTCAAAACGGTTTTCTTTTCAGAGAAGGAGTTGGATCAGTCTGAACTTTCGAAACGCTGGGTCGACTCAGTTTTAGGTTTTTTCGGTTCAGTTCAAGAACACACGAACCAATCCTATCTCAAAAAAGTATTAAATAGCTAGAACATTTTGTTTTCGACTGATCTTTCTTCACTGATAAATCTTTTTACATAGAGTTATCATTAACAAAAG